AATTGTTTAAACATAATTTCCACCACGAGGTGATCATACATCCTTAATCCAACAAATAAAAGATACGTAATAAATAATTAAGAGAATAAGAAAATATAAAGTAATCATGTCATCCTATGTTACGTATCAGAGCGACTCCTAGCACTCAATCAATAGCAACACACTCCAAGCATTACTCAGGTACCTGGTCATCTGCACTCTCCAAGGAGCACAGGTGCAACAAACAGAAAAGGGGTGAGAACTACATTCAATAAATAAGCGGTGAAATACACATGCTAAGGAGTAGTTACACACCACACATACAATCATACATATACAACGCACATACATGTGCCATCTTAATCATTCGACATTAATAGCCCATCACCAACTACAAATATGAAATGTGACTCACTAACTTGACACTATGCATGTGGTACCAACACAAATACATACAGTTCACCCAAGAACCCGATTCCCGTCGGAATCCGGATAAGTCGTATACATCTCTCTGAACTACAACTTATCTCCACAACGACTTCCACATGAAGTCCGGATGAAACTAGGCACCTATCATGGATTCCCACCTAGCCATCTCCACCAAACACATGACATGAAATGCATGACCACACAATTATGCAATATAATAATTCAAGCATAATTCACGGTCATCAATGATCCACACGAGCCATCCGATCACCGTAATCCTCTCGGGGATTACCACAATCGCACAAGATTATCCACATTCGATAACCAAGTCTCACACCGATCAAGACACACCTTTATGGGCACACTATATAATTCCACATTCTTTCTAATTAGGTTCATTACTAATCTTCCTTAGGTTCATTTTAGCCCTATTAACCCTGCCGATTAAATGGAATTGCGTTCCAAGCGAACACTAAACAGAAATCATAAAAACTAGGGGAAAAGTCATCCCAGATTGTCCATACACGTACCACTATGGTCTATACGCGTAATTCCTGCTGCCATCGCGTACCAGACCTACCTTACGCATATGACCAGAGGCCTTCACCTCCCAAAACCCCTCAAGGTCAAACCCTACGCGTATGACTACCCCCATACGCGTATTGCCCAAACCCATACGCGTACCATACACGTATCACTAGATGGTCATGCTGGCAGTGGGGACAGGGCACGTCTGCTACGCGTACAACCCTTGGGAAGCCCCCCATACACGTATTGACACCCCTAATACGCGTATGACCAGCAGATCTGTCAAAAAAACCATATTTCATCATCCTCACGAGTTTCCTCTCCAGATCCATCATCCTACCTTCCCATTCATCCTAAAACTCAAATTTTAATCGATTTCAATCACTCTTATCTGCTATTCTTCCCAAATTATATCTATTAGCTCTAGTTTCGATTACGGTTAAACCCTTAGTTTTTCAGATATGTTAATCCACAACATTCTATCACAGCTTCAGGGAATTTCCACACGGATTTTCATATTCATACCAGAATCATACATACAACAGCATACAATGATCATTCAACAATAACAACAATCACAGGGAAATCGTAATATCAAGAAAATCAATTAACAAGCAAGAACAGACAGAAATTCCTACGAGAGAAAGGACCTCTCACTATCCTCTCATGCTAAATCACCCATATTGAAATTCATTCTCCTCCCTTACCTTGAATTGAAGCTTTTCCTTGACAACAATGGAGAAATCTTGGTTCTTCTGTCCTAGCTCTCCTTTCTCTGTCTTTTTCCTCTTTCACGTGTTAACTGACTAATTCTTCCACTAACCTTCTCTTAACCCCTTAATCAGATTTTAATTCATTTAATTTAATTACTATTAATACCAATAATAATAATAATAATAATAATAATAATAGTAATAATAATAATAATAATAATAATAATAATAATAATAATCCCATTAATATTACTATTAATAATAATTGAAATAATAAAGTTAATAATCATAATGCTCTTAATCTTATTATTAAATTATCTCTTGCTCTAGGTTCGCATTACCCAACTAAAGTCAACTCTCACTCGTGCCATTAACCTCATACCCTTATCAAAGATATCACAACCAATACGCACACAATAAAGTATAAAATGACTAAATAATTTAAATGAGGTGTTACAGCAGTCATCGTTGGGTCCGCTCCAGCTGGCGTAGGAACAGTCTGGAAAACAACTGGGCCCCTTGCTCAAGGTGCGACGTGATGCGCCGCGTCCTCGGACGAAGGGGAAGCAGTGCAGCCGTCCCTCACGTCGTCCTCACGGGCATATACCCAGCCTGGTCATCGTCGTTGGTGATTGGGGCGAAGGCGGAATTATAGACAGCATCGTCGTGACGTGGGCTAGTCATGATCTCGGAAATTGAAGTTGAAAGCTTTGGTTCTTCTGCTCAGAGGAACGAGGAAGCTTTAGATTCCCACATACGGTGCCACTGATCGTACCTGATCAGAGAGATCGCTGGTCGGCTACGCGTCTGAGCTTTTGAACTATTGACTTGACGGACAAATGGGGTGTACCTGAAACACACTCTGATGCCAAAGTAAGGGACGAGCAGAGTGATAACAAGTACAGAGAGAAAGGAGTAAGAGTTAGATTACCTGACCCTCTAGCGGAAGAGAGTATTTATAATGAGCCTCCAGCGCATGGCCAACGATTACTATGCATTAGGCTGGGTTGCCAGGCCCAACGCTGGTAACTGTTAGGGCTAACGTGGTGTCGTGAAGAACAGCACGTGGTCTTCGCCCTAGTGTAACTGTTCTGTGCTATCCGGGAGGTGGAGGACCGAATAATCAGGACACAAATTAGTTACCTGATGATGTGTCTCCACGTAGGGGACACGTTAAGAACGTGGGGAGGTCAGGGGAGTTTCTCGAGCTGGATGAGTTATGCCGGACGTGGGACATAAGAGGGGCAAGCCGGGCAGATGTAAGGATCCTGCCCGACGACCGTTTGTTTGTGCCCGACGGAAGAAGGTGTCCTGTCCGACAAGTCTCTGTCCAACGATGAGGTCTTATTGGGTCTTCCAACCTGGTGGGATTTGGGTCTGCTCGACTATGGGTCAAGCGTCGTCCCAATCTAGAACAATAAATATCAACTAATAATATGGTATGTGTAAATTGCATTTTAACTAAATAAATAAATATTAATAACATAAATAAAGACAAGTTACCCATGTTCGACTTCGTATAGTATTTTAAAAATATTTAACTTTATTTTATTTAATTATATAAAAAATGTAATAATTTGTGCGTTTACACGGATAAGGTAAATTATAATTTTATATAAAGTATTTTTAATAATATAGTAATTAATAAGTTAAAAAAATTCAAATAGTAATAATATATGTTTCTTTCCTAAAAATATAGAGTAAAATATTTCATGTTCACATGCTTTCATTATTTTAGTCAAGTATAAAAAATTTAACCGAAGTGAAGTGGAATAGAAAAATAAAAATAGTTTTTTTTTTAAAACTTAATGAAAGAAATCTTTATTCTTTGATAGCAAATTTTATTTATTTTTTTCTTGTGCATATTCTATTTGTTTCTTCTTCTTCACTCTTTGATAGAAAATTTAAACAATAAAATTCAAATTTTAATATAAAGAATTATATTCCTCTCTCACTCTCAAATATATATAAAAATATTTAAAAATGCGGTAAAATTAATAAAAGACAAGAATGAGAATGGCGTTATTGAAATTCTAACGTATGATCTATAAACTAGTTTACAACGGTTGTTTGTTTTAATCATTGTTATTAGTAGCGTGATATCTAACTTATAAGAGCATCTTTAATGGGAGTAAACTAAATTGGTAAACTAAGATACTTTTTGTGGGCCCAAAGTGATTTGTAGGATTTAAAGAATTTATAATTGATTTGAGTAGTTTTTACTTTAATGGTGGTTGTCTATATGAAACCAAAACTTGACCCCACATTTTATATTTTTTATTCAAGTTATCATTAATTTAATTATTTTAATTAAAATACATATAATTTTTTAAATAAAATTTACCTTAAAAACTTAAAAATAATATTAAATATGTTTTATTATAAAATTAAAAATGATACAAAATTCACAACAATAATACATAAAAAAATTACATTTTCATAGGAATATAATTATAATAAGGATTCGATTGGTTGGGATCCATTTGATAAATAAATAAGATTGGAAATTGAAAGAAAAAAATTTAGAAGTAAAACAGTGTGTAAAAAAATTAAAATTTCTATAGAATTTATAAAAGGTAAAAAATGATAATATGACCGTTACTATTTTCAAATATCATATCCTTACTTTAATGTTGTTGGAATATTTGGAATATTTTATTAATATTAAATAATATTATAATAGGTTTCACATAGTTAACGTTAACTATATAGATAATGGAAACTAAATTTTAGTTCGTTTGGATGTCATGTCAGCTCTCCTCTAATGCAGATTTCTTATTACTAACGTAAGTTATAAAGAATTTTGGTTTAACAACTTTGCGTTAAAGTTGCTCTAATCACGATCACGTTCTAAAAATCAGCATACTTACAATCACACGCTATCTAATAAAGAATATGAAACTGTTACTATAAGTATTTTGCAGTAATTATTATATTTGTTTTCTGTAGTAGTGTAAACTACATTCTTTTCTTAAAATACTAAAGAATAATCTATAAATAACGCATATCAAAATGCTTTTTAAATAATTTTAAACATTTATAAAATAAAATAGCAACAGTGTTTTATTTTCCCCAATTGTAATTGTAAAGGAGGGGTGATTCGACAAATGATGCAGGAACACATACAACATGGGCAGTTTAAACCAAAAAAGGCATAGTTAAATATGTTTTAGTCACTAAAATTATCTCAAATTTTGTTTTAAATCTATGTATTCAACTTTCAATAGCTACAAACTTCATGATTTTTCAATCTTTTATTAAAACTAAAAACATATAATTTTGTAGATTTCAGAGACTATAAAACAAATACATAAACCAAAAACAAAAATAAATTATTCAAAAAATTAACAACTAACCATTATTTTTATTCAACCAATATTCATCTTCCCAAATTTCCACCTGTCTTGTTGAATTAACATTTCTCTCTAAAACTTCTTGTAGTGTTAAAGAATCATATGGAGGAGGAATAGTGCATGGATTTGAATCACTAGGATACATAACCATTGATTCCTCCATGAACTTCCTTTCTATACCATTTAAATCACATGCCATTGTTTCTGAACAAAATTCCACAGCTCCTTGAGGTATACTTGGTTTGAACCTCAAAAGCTTTGCATACTCATTAAGAAGATTAAACATGTAATCATATACATTGTTCATGTTTAAGTCCTCTTGTATGAATCTACTAGCAGCCTCTCCTATTGCTTGTGCCTTATCAGTGTGATTGTTGCCCCATTCCACAGCAAACTTAAGAGAGGTGCATTTAGAATTGTCTCTAATAGGCCAATAGTGTTGTAATGGAACCATGCCTCTCATGAAAAAATCATGGTACTCGGATTTTACATATAATGTCATGGAATTACATGCCAAAATGTATTTCTCACTAACCGACCAAGCATATCCTTGTATGTATATTTTGTACCTGCGACCAGCAAACAATAACACAACATTCAATCTCAGACTAGAACTAGGACGTGCTGAACTGAAGTTAAAATAACTGAACCTGTAGGTGCATTGGTCGCCTAAGCCGGATTTTTTGTAACCTTCGTTGGATTCTTTTATCCAGTCCTGTGACGCAAACATATATACAATGAATCATTCTTCCTTTTACACGAATTCCAACGAAAAACATAACAGAAAATTGATTAAGAAAAATACTTGTATGTATAGGCGAGTGTTCCAATCATTTTCTGATGTAACATTACACTTCAAAAGATTCTTCCTAGTTGGAGCAACATAAGGGTTCCCCTTCCAATAAGCATAAGGTACTCTATCCTCCCACTTGATCATTTTGTTCCCTTCTTTTATCTCTTTCAAGAGTCCATTCCATGGCTTTATATTTATCTCAGCCCTGTATAAAAATGTGTTCAAATTCCATTTTATAAGTATAGTAAATGAAGAAGTGGAGTTAGTTAGAATTTACCATCCCCAAAAGGACCAATCAGGGAAGACAATATCCAAACTCCATTGATTAGAACAATATCTAAACAAAGGTGGTGGCGAAGCGTTTGGGCCATGAAACTTATCCGAAGGAACAACAGGCCTATCGTCGCAATCAAACAAGAGTTCCAAATCCGGCAACTTCCCAGGATACAATCTTAAAAGTTGCAAAACACCCCACAAAGTGAAAACATCTCTTGTTTGAATTGACTTCTTATACTTCTCCACATACAATTTTCCATCCACAATCACAATCTTAAAGTGTGCTGTTCTTCTTGCTTCTTCCAGCATTTCCTTTGTGATCCCTTGTTCTTTCCATGGCTTTAGATCTTCATGGATCCATCTAAAGTATGAGGGACAAACATGGCTATATTGATTTGTTGGGTTATGCTTTGTAGGAAAATAGTCTCTTGGACATGTTTGTGTCTTGGTCTTGTTCCCTTTGGTGCATATAAGTGGATATTCTTGTTTTTGGTGTTTGTTTGTTTGGATGGATGAAGGGTCTTGATTTGGAATGAAATAATCACCTGAAATTATGTTCTATAAAAATAATTTTAACATTAGTTTTTTGTCGAAAAAAAAAACTCATAAAAAGTGTCAGTCAATAATTATACAGAGACATCAGATGCTGAGACGCAGTTTTGAAATTGAAGCATTCCACTTATTAAAAAATCTTAGTCGAAAGAAAAAAGAAACAGAGAAAAATGAAAATATAGATGAAAACTCACATTATTGGAGGCTGCAAAATAGTAACAAAAAGTTGCTACTAAGCAAAACAGAGCAATTATGGTTGTGGTAACTTTAGCTTTTTTGGAGAAGAAACAAGTCCTGTGATGATTAATAGAACCTGGTTGAAAAAGTTTGAGATATGTTTCATTGTCCTTGTTCATGTTTGAGTTCAATCAATCTAGTTTCTCTAACTTGAAACTATTATGTAAGAGGTTGTTGAAAGAGAAAGAGAAGAAGCTATGAATAATGTAAAATGAATATGGTCCTTGTATTTTTAGAATTCTATTGGTGTTAGTTTTAAGTCAACAACTTAGGTTGAGTTAGTCTAGTTTATGGATGTGGTTTATTGAAATCTCTATAGTATTTAAATTTAATATAGTAATTAATTTTTCTTTATCTTAATCTTAAGTATATAGAAGAAAGAAATATCTTAGTAATTTAGTTCACATTTTTTTGTACAATCCGTACTAAATCACGCATGAAATGTCTGGGTGAAGTTGGCCAAACATCTTATAAATAAATATTAATGGTTAGAATGTTATGTTTGTTGTTCTTAAAAGGTGATGGTGTATATGTCAATATTATTAAATTAAATATTTTATTTAAAATTTAAAATTTCACAATTATAGATATGTTGAACTCAACAGCTGGACTACCCTAAAGTCTAATTTTTAATTGACTATAAAGACTATTCTACATTTTTTTTCCGTCATTTACTCTTCAATTTTATGTAAGGCTTTGAAATGTTTACAAAAGAGCATGCAAGACCCTTGAAAGCACATAATGGGTCTACTTGGTTGGTTTTAGTTCAATCTCATTAAATCATTTACTCTTTATTATATGGAAAAATATTGATTGATTCATATAATAAAATAAAAATACTTGAAAACTAACGGCTTGATTATATATTATTTTTAGCCGTGGTTCATTTATACTTGGACCTATGGCTGACAAACGGGTGGAAAAAGAATTTTTTTTTTAAGGTATTCTATGGATTTCTTACGTGTTATATGACTTTTTATATATGTTTTTTGATTTTAGAGATATATCTCCGAACGCACTATAATTTAAATATACATTAAGATATTTTAGAGATATATCTCCTGACGCACCAAAGATCAACAGAAAGTTGAAAATTCCAGAGATATATCTCCGAAACAATTTGGAGCATATTATCGCGTCAGACTCTTCTCCTTCCGCACTTTTATTTTCAATTACAAACCTCTTCATCTCTTTCATTCCTAAATTTCTCAAACTTCATCAAATTTGATTTCTTTCGTCCGAGGCTCAAGTAATCATCAAGCAACATCCAGTGCATCATTGAACATTTTTCGAATCATATAATCCAGGTAAGTTTTTCGAGTTTCTGATAAATATTCGAGTATTTCTGTAAACGAGTTAGAATGCATTGTTAGGTATAGAAATATTTAGATATCAGTTGAAACATAGTTTAAAGTTAGTGTATGTATTGTTTGTTGGCTGAAATGGACGATCAAGGCTTCAAATTTCTCATTATAAGGGGAAGAGGACGTCATTGTCGTGACCACTGAGTTTCAGGAAATTTCGGAGATACATCTCTGAAAAAAATTCAATGTTTCATGTACTCTGGGTGATTCCAGAGATACATCTGCGGATTGTTTCCGTAGTTGTATCTCTGAAATCACCCAGAGTACGTGAAACGTTGAATTTTTTTAGAGATGTATATCTGGAACTTTCTCCGTCTTTTTTTTCTTTTTGTTTTATAATTTTTTGTTTGTGATATTCATTTAGGTAAACTCATTGTACGGTTAATTATACCTTGCAGGCATAATGGCTGACAGAGCTGACCGATTGAGGCATGGACGGGTTGCCAAGCACGCATTCGTTCGGCAGGAGCGGAGCCAGTAGGTTCTGGAGGCAGCAAGTACCTCTGGTCACACATTGTGACTTTTGTGGACACGAGTGCCACCTACACTGACGCTGCATACCTCCGGTACTTCTTGGATCTCACACGAATCCATGAGTACAACTGAGGGCGGTTTGCCTTACATATCTATATTCGAGGCTGAGAGATGGATGTTAGTGGAGGACGAAGCAAGTCACAGGCAATACCACATTACTGGTGGTAATAATTTTTTATCCTTGAATATTTTTTTATCTTTATCATTTCATATTTGCTATAATTCTTGATCCCTGAATGCTTTTTATTTTCATTTCTGACTTGGATCCTCCAGCACTTCTCGTGCATCGCTAGCTGGTCGTGTTGGGATAAGTACACTGAGGAGATGTTATGTGCATGTGCTTTTATCTTGCTGAGAAGGAACCATGCGACTGAGCCTTTTAGAGTCTATCTTGACCGCTTGGCTGCCGAGGACACCCACTTCAACTCCTACGTGGATCACCGTCAGTCGCAATCATTTGACGACATATCGCTATACTCCGGATGATTGGCCTGCGGATCGAGTATCAATGCTCCTCATCTACCTGAGCGCGTCATACGACATTCGAGTACACCCAGACTATCCCTAGACACTCGGATGTCTCTGCTCCTCCTGCCTTGACTCGTATTTAGATAGAGAAGATGTTTGTTGATTATCAGAGTCATCTGGTAGCGGAGGAGGTTTGGGTTACTATAGCGCCGAATGACTAGAGCTATGTCGACGGATACATCAGGTGGTTCTTCACTGCCTCACATATGTACATGGTGTCGACGCTCTAAGAGATCCGCCGAGACGAGCTCATCAAGAGATTCTAGAGAAGCAGCAGACTCAGCTGGATCATACTGAGGATGTCTTGCCTCATTATCGTCGCATAGTGGAGTTGGCGCGGGAAGGCAACGAGGAGGGTATCTTTCCTAGGGGGTCTGATGTCAGGTGAGTACTAGATGACATTATTGCGGAGGCACAAGAGAAACTTTTGTACCACATACATCGCGTGAGGACATGGGGATCGATGGTCGAGAAGGCAGATCAGACAAAGGAGAGGTTGTATGTTTTTCCTAACATTGTTACTACATTTTAGATTTATGTGACTTATGACATTCTATTACTATATTGTTATGTTATTTTTGTTTGTCTGTTATTTTATAATTCGTCTGCGAACAAATAAACAATGCGTTATTTTTATAAAAATTGTTCTGATACATTTCAGAGATGTATCTTCGAAAACTTTTCGTAGATGAATCTTTAGAAAAATTCAAATGAAAATGGACTATAGGAGATATGTTGTAACCGCTTAAGATTTAAATTGTTTCGAAAATATATCTCCGAAATATTATTAAACCATGAGATACGTTCGGAGATATATCTCCAGAATCTGAGAACATTTGTTAAAAAACATACAATGGAAAAGAAATTTATGGACTACCCTTAAAAAATTCTAAAAACTTGTGAAACACAAAAGAACATAAAAAAGAGTAATTATATAAAATTTTAATCTGTTTCGCAAGAATTAAGAGTAGGACGAAATGGATCATGCACCTCTAAAACTAAATTAAAAAAATTAAAAAATAAAAAGTTGTTAATAGTCGCGGCCAAAAAACAGAACGAATATATTAGATAATTAAAAGTTAAAATTTTGATCTAAAAAATCGCAGAAAAAATGAACATGTCAGACGGAACACTAATCGGGTCCATTTTGCCTCCTACACACATCTTGTTTCTTTTATTCTCAATTAATTAATGAGCCACTTTCATGTCATGTTGCGTAGACGGAAAGGCACCAAAATGTAGACCACAATTTTTTTCAGTAGTTATTACTCCTAACTAGTCAATTACTTCAAATTTAGGCCAAAACTATTAAACAAACTACTATTATAGTAGTCAAATATACACGTGCTTGCTTCTTTTTGAGTTTTGCTTCCTAAATATTGTGTAGGAAATTTCGGGTAACTGTGTTTTTATTCAATATAAAAATATATATTCTTTAAAATAATTGGTAGAGAAGCTATTAATTAAAGTCTTGTTTCATGGTTCCCACCAAAATAGTTAGGTCCATATCATTTAGAAGCCGATAAATTAGGTTAATCCCTAAATTCAAAGTCAACAAGGTTGCAAACTGATTTTGTCAAAAATACTCCTTTAATTAAAATTTAAAAAATCATAATAACAAATATTTTTCATTTAAATTGTTGAATCTCTTTCGTTTATATTTTGTTATGTTATTAGAAAAAAAATAACAAACTATAAACATTGTTACTTAGATAATAGTGCTAATAAGATGACATAAATTAGTGCTGTTTTGTTTTTCCTGTCTAAATTTGTAATAAACATTCACGTGTATTCTACTCATACTGTGGATAGAACTAATGAATCATGCAATCTTCCAATTGACTTGGATTGTTGAACATCAATGCCAATGCTAAACACATGTGCTAACTTAGAAATGTGTTAACGCCAGAGTTTTCAGTCCAATAAAACAGATTGAGCCTTTTGATTTCAATCTTGAAGCCAGCTTTTTTTTTCATTTTAATATACACTAGATGTTCATGTTATCCATGGTGAATTCGACATAAATGTATTATTTTGAAATGGGGAATTTCTCACAGTCCAAGGGTTTCACAAACCAGTTGCTAAAAGGCGGCTTCGCTTTAAAAATCTTTGATGCTAACTGATATTCTTCAGCCCCATCCTGAAAAGAATTCGTCGTGCAAAACAGGTGAAAAACGCGAAAGACCAAATACATTCATTCCCGACATAAACTAGACCGTCGCATAAAATACCTTTAGTTCTCTGTAAGTAATCTCGTTGTCCACGGACATGGCCGAGCACTCTTTTCTCGTTGACAAGAAAACCTCTAATAGCCTCTTTCTGAAAATCAATTATACTCAGTATTCGACAAGAAAAATATTAATATATCTTTTTTTCATAGTAAAAGCTTATACACAATCACTTATATGATAATCATTTATGCTATAAGTATTTGATTAAACTATTTATCCATAGTTTAGGTCTAGGTGCAAATTGTCAGCTTACTTGCATAAAGACGACTCGGTCGATGGATAGAGTGCTCCTTTTGCGGAGGTGCCTTGCTTTCTTCCAGTAGTTCCCAAACTGACTTCATGCAAGCCACATTCATTCCAACCTATAGAATACCTGAAAATTTAATCATTCAGCTTAATGCAACAAAAAACCATACATTAATATGAACTTTTTTTTACGCAAGTACCCGCATGTCAAATTGTTAGCAGAACTCTCAGATTGCAGAAAATCCTTTGGTGGCACCGGAGCAGACTGAAATTGTGGCTAGGAAATGAAAAACATATCGAGATCAGCCTCCTACCTTTTAATTTTTATCTTATTAACAGAAATACTAAATATTCACATACTTGGTTCACTAGAAATGGCAATGTTAGCTCATTCTCCAAGTGTCGGATACGATCATGCAAAGCTCTTTCCAAGTTATCCTCCAAAGAAAAAATTTCAGGACTGATATGTGGCAGACCAACAGTAATTGACGAAAGATATACAGGTTGGAGAAAGTACGAAAGTAAAGCTCCTGGTATAGGAACAAGTTATACGATATTTCACCGAAAAATGTAATCATCGACACTATTCCGATGCATCGTCTGCCAACTCACAAACAACCATGGTTTTAAGCATATCTAACCTTGAACGCCAACAACGTTCCAACGCGCTATCTTGTCAGAACAACTAACTGACAAGGTTGTATCGCCACGACCTGGCTTTCTCTGGACCATCCCTATTTGTTTTGAAATATTCACTGCAATGAAGGGAAAAAGTATTTATCCTTAGACCAGAAAAAACAACAGTTAAGGTTCAAATTAAAAAATCTCCATTGAATATAACATTTGGAAAGAAAGAAAACATATCATCAAATTTAGTAATAATTATAATAAAAGAGAATTTGTTGAAGAATAACAGGGAAAGAGATTCAGCAAAAAAAAAATGAAGGGACCAAAGTTGCACATAGTCCAAAGGGAACCAAAAGTCCAATTATTAATCACTAAATGTTATCTAACCTTTCTCTTGGTCTTAAATATGTATACACATAAAATGTAGCTTACATAATGATGAATTTGAATCATTTTCTCCTAAAGGCACACTTTGCAACGGAGTATCATGCGAGTTCAGTGAAGCATCTCCACCTACAAAATGCAACACAAAACGAAATTACCCTTGAACCTAACCCACAACGTAACAAATAAAGGAAGCAAATAGAAGAATGTGATAAAATAGATTACATGGTAACTGTGATATGTACATATGTAACTTCCAACCACTTCTCAAGGTATATTTCCGTTTCTCAAGACACCCTCGGTCCAACTCAAATGCTAAGTTGTCATCATCAAATTTGAACCGTTTTCCTCCATTGCTCAGTGCAGACTTGGTACTAGTTTCAGAAAGATATTGAATCTGTGTATAGAAGAACCTGGTGTAAATAGAAACATATGAAATAATATCTTCTCAGATAGCAAGATGTTATGGTAATCAGTAACCAAGATTAAAAAAAAAAGTTTTCAATTGTGGTCTCGGCTGCGACAAAGTATTTTGACATCTTCACAACCGCAGTTGAAGCCGCATCAATCGTATTGGACACATTAACAATGATTCTTCTCAATATGAAGAATACCTAAGGAACCACAATTGAAAACTTTTGAGAAATGCAATGTAAAAGTATGTATATATCTATGGAGCACTGACATTTCATTTCCATTTGAAGGTGTGACTGACACCAACACATCTGGATACATATTGGAGATCATTTTGTAATTATTAGCTGGTTAAGTCTGTTAGGAAGTTTAGTTAGGCAGTTAAAAGTTTGTTAGTTAGTCCTTTCATTTTCTTGGCTATACCAATCTGCTATACCAGCACTATATATGTGTAGACTCTGTGCAACTAGAAGCTTAAGCTTGTAATTCAAGATTTCTTTCATTAATGGATGAATGCAAACATTCAAGTTTGCCTTGCAATCTTTCTTTTATCTGTCAGTAATATGGTATCAGAAGAAAACCATTCCTTTTCCGCAAACCCTAATTCTGAAATTCCTTTATCATTCTTCTTCTTTCAATCTTCTTCCATGGAAGATTCCAATTCTTTCTGAGAAACTTCCAATCACAGCAATCTATCCAATCCCTTACGCAATCCATGTAGCCTCTGTTACCTTCACCCCGGCGCCGTTCTCGTTACACCACCGCTCAACGATTCAAATTATTACAGCTGGAGCAAATCCATGAAAAGAACCTTATCATCCAAGAACAAAATTGGTTTCATCAATGACTCAATCACACAACCTCAAATGATGTTAATTTCAAACTCAGGGATAGGTGCAACAATATGGTATTGTCGTGGATTACCAGAACCCTAAATCCCCAAATTGCTCATAGCACCATTTGCTTTGACAATACGGTGGAATTGTGGAAAGATTTACAAGATCGCTATACCAAAGGCAATAATTTCTGCTTTTCAGATTTGCTCAAAGATCTTCACTCCATCAAGCAAGGTGATCGCAACATCTCCATCTATTTCACTGAAGATTATCTGGGATGAACTCGAATCCCTTCGCCCTACCACTTCTTGCACATGTTCATCAAAATGTTCTTGCGCCCTAAGTCTACCTGTGCAAAAATTCAAACATTTGGAGTACATTACCTATTTCCTTGAAGGTCTTAATGACAATTATAACAACATATGCACCCAAATCCTTCTTATGAACCCTCTTCCTTCTCTCAGCAAGACTTATTCAATGGTTATTCAGTAAGATCCTCAGCCTTCTGCAGATGGCCATCAAGGAATTCCATGCTCTGCAGTCATTGCAGCAAAACAAACCACGCAGTCGAAAATAGTTATTTCAAGCATGGATTCCCCCCAAGATACAAGACAAGAGGCCAACTCCATCAAGATTCCAACGATAATCACAAGAAAGAAAATCACAAGCCTCATACAGATGATACAGATACCCTCGGCGAGGAAGACTACAAATCCCAAACAATTCACAATCACAACCCTGTTGGACATTCCTTACACATCACATCTAACATCTCCAAAACAGTTGGCCCTTTCATAAAAATACATTATGAATACTAGATTTTGGTGCATCAGACCATGTGTGTCTTTTTATTAGATCTTTCCATACAATTCACAAAATCAAACCTGTGCCTATCACTTTTTCAAATGAGCACAGAACAATTGCATATTATGCTGGAAACATCTATTTCACCAAGAATCTATATTTTCTAAATGTTCTTTATATACCTCAATTTCACTTTAACTTACTCTAAATCTCTAAGTTAACCACTAATCTGAGTTGCAATGTCGTATTCTCTCAAAGCTCATGCATTATTTAGGATTTGGCTTCCAAGAGGATGATTGGGAATGTGAATCACGTCAATAGTCTCGCATACTCAACCATGATCCTATAGCTCACACCTCACAGTTTTTTTATAGATTTCAGCAATGGTAAAATCTGTCTTAGCAACATTAGTACTATTCGTAACAATAATTTTGATGTATGGCACTATAGGTACCACCCATCTTTACATGTTTCCTATACTATGTGTAAACTGTTTCCGTACATTAATATTAATAAAAACTTGATGTCTGATTCTTATCGTTTGGCTAAAGAAACCAAATTACCTTTTCCTCATAGTAAGTAACACTACCACTATGCATGCTTTTGATATTCTTCACATGGATATTTGGGGAGCTATCAATACTATATCTATAGATGGTTTCAATTATTTCTTGGCATTCTCCTACCATCGAATTCACCTATCCAACTCAAAGCCTTCTTTGACAGTGACTGGGCCACCTGTCCAGATACCAGAAAATCAGTGACTGGATTTTGCATCTTTCTAGGTTACTCTCTCATATCTTGGAAATTGAAAAAGCAATCTGCCCTTTCCAAAAGTTCATCTGAAGCTAAGTACAGAGCAATGGCTTCCATTGTTTGTGAGATACAATGGCTAACATACCTTCTTCATGCTGCCAAATAAACACACTGCTTTGCTATATTGTGACAGCCAACCTGCAAGACACATTGCAGCAAATTTCTCATTTCATGAGAGAACAAAACATACTGACTTAGACTGTCATTTAGTTCGAGATAAACTCCTACATCCACTTTTCCGGGAAGGGATTTGCTGACTTCGATTTTGAGTACCTTTGGTACCTTTCTGTCTATCTCACTCTAAATTAACATTTCTCTCTATAAATTAGCCTAAAGTCACAAAGGCACCACTACACTAATGTTAGCCAATCCATTCCCCACTTTTCCACCTTCTTCGTATCACCACATCTCAACAACTAGCAAATCCCTTTACAAACGCTTTTAAATCAACTCCTTTTCATGCTCTTATTTCCAAGTTTGACCTTCTCAACATATGCGGCCCAGCTTGAGGGGAGATTCTGTTAGGCAGTTAGGAAGCTTGTCAATCCGTTCATTTTATCTGCTATACCAGTTTGATACACCAACACTATATATGCGCAGCCTGTGTGCAACTTGAAGCTTAAGCTTTTAGTTCGAGATTTCTTTTATTAATGGATGAATGCAAAAATTCAAGTTTTCCTTTCGATCTTTCTTTTATCTATCAGTAATAATACATTCAATTATTTCATTTTCTTAAATTACTACCGGTGTTACGTGTCAGTGCCTTTGTAATCGATTCATTAATATGATACACAAACAAGTCTATACTATCAAGAGATTCAAGACATTACATTACCAACAATTGGTCATAGTAACAAGACTTCCAACTCCAGGTTAGTTACACTGAATATACAGAGTAAAAACACAAAAATTAAACAGAACAACAGTGGAAAAACAAGATATGAAGAAAACCTGATTAAAGCTCTTCGAGCAATAACTTCGGCATGGGAATCATGAACAACATCACCACAAGGACGCAAAAGAGAACGTCCAATACACTTTGTTCCAGTTCCAAGTGCAACAACCTTCAATTCTTAAACCCAAAATCAAATAAAAACTGAATAAGTAAAACCCAGAACCATAAATAAAAATATAATTTTTTTGATTTGATTTAGATTGAAAGTTTGAAAATTGAAAGAGAAAAGGGGAAGAAGAGAGAGAACCATTGGAAGGAGAAGAGAGAAGGAAAGCAGCGAGAACGGTTACTTCACGGCCTTGAGGTTTGCCTTTCTTTGGAAGGGAATTGTATAAAGAAATAACCTTTTCGGATACTCTTTGCCCCAAACTTGTTCCGTCAGAAGAAGCCATAGACATGGCTTAGCAACAACACTGAATGTGTATAGCAGTCCGGTGAGGAAGAAGAGGGAACTGAACTAGTAGTGAGAAACTGAGAGGTGAGGAGAATTGCCAGTTTGCCACCCCCAAATTATACAACACCAAATTCTTGAAAAAATTTGAAACACTGAAAAAATTTTACATTATTGAAAATTTTAATAAGTAAATTTCTGGAAATTTTGAAATTTTTAATAATGTAAAAAATCTATTTCGAAATTAATGATATAATATTGAAAATTTTGAAATTTTAAATACAATCCCATCAATTTTGAAGTCGGTGGTAGTGTAAAATGAAATTCACTTTTTTTTTTTAGAAACTTTTGGTAAAAGATATGAAATTTGAAATTTTTTATTTTTTATCAAATTTTTTCGATAAAACATTTAAATTTTTTTTAATTTTTGATATATATCACGAAATTTCTGGTATACAATTATAAATTTCATAATTTTTTTAAAAAAATTAAAGGGAAAAATAGAATTTCGCCATAATCAGGGGGTGTCAAGTATAAGTGAGGGGGTGACAGGTTAATTCCTCAGAGGTGAGTGGTGACTACTCTGGAATGGGCTTTTGAGAATTTCTTATTGCATATAAATAGATGTTTCTAATGCACCATGTGAATTTCCACATATGTCCCATGATTTTTTAGATACATCTCCGGACGCACCTGAGTACACACTCAACAAAGATTATTCTGAAAGACGTCTCATATATTGGGTTATTTTTATTACAGGGATGCATCTTCGAAACATTTTAAGAAAACAATTTAGTTGTTCAGAGCAGTAGATATTCTAGAGATGCATCTCCGGAATATTTTAAGAGAAACATTTTAAGTTTCAGTTTAGTAGATATTCCGGAGATGCATCTCCGGAATTATGGACAGCATTTTGAAATTTTTTCGTCACCTTTACATGTCAGGTATTTTTGGAAATGCATCTTCAAAAACATATGATATAGTCTCTGTTGCGGTTAGAATATGATATCAAATTATTAATTAATTTGAATCACATCTTTAGTTCACAACCGCTCTTTGATTTATCCGAAGGAAAAGGTCAAAAGAGGGAAAACCTAATTTTACATCGTAAAGACAATGCGGGGAGAGATCTAGGTAAGGGGTTGGTTAAGCTTAGGGAAGATACTCGCACCCTAAACTTTTGTAGTACTCTACAGGAACCTTTTGTTTATTTTTGCTATTTATTTTTATTATCTGCTTGAAATATATAATGAGTTAAGGGATGAAATGACCTAAAAGACCTAAGGGTTAGTCCTAAGTTTACTCGGCAAGATTTGCATCTTGTGCCTACGTATCCTGGATAGGGAATGGAATCAGAGTAATCGTAGTTCCCCTCGAAAAGGAGGTTAGAAACGTCTTGACTGTGGTCAAGGATTCAATGGGGAATAAATGTATCTTAAGGACACGCTTACGTGGAGTTCGGAGACTCCTATTTCTACGTTGAAATTGTTGAAATTAAAACTAGGGTTGACTAAATGTTCCACGGCAGAAAACCCTAAAACAGAGTACGGCGACTCTTTGACCTAATGCTAGGGTAAAGGGCGTTTTTGTCCACGGCAGAACACCTAGGCAATTAGAGTTTGAACCATTCAAAGGGTAAGGCTATTGACTCGGCGGTCAAACTGTTAGACCTAATCCTTCGGAGGGCGATTAACGGTAAAATATGCAAACGACAAATATTATCATACGGCAGAATTAAAGTGCGAAAATAAAGAAAACAGTAAAGCAAAAACATCGCGACGATCACTCGCGTAAATTACAAATCCCAAAAACTGCAAAAATAAATAATTGCGACGATAACCTCGCATGATTACAAACCAAAAATAAGAAAGCAAGAATAAATAACCGCGACAATGGCCTCACACAGTTACAATGAAAACAATAAGCAGGAATATTAACGGCGACAATGTCTTCGCCTTAATTATGACCGGAAAATGAAGAGGAGCGTAAAAACGAACGAGAAATAAAACACTGTTAACGGTACAACCGAAAACGACAGACGGCAAGGCATCGAAGTTTGGTTAGAAGAAGATTTTTATTTTGAGAATGCTTTTAGTTAAAAAGGTTAATGATTTGAATTAAAGAATGATTTTATTATTTTTTGTATTTTTTAGAAAAAGTGTTTTAATTTTATTTAAGAAAATTATTTTTACTTAAGGTTTTTAATTAAGAAAAGTTTGTTTTATTTTTATGTTTTAATTAGAAAAATATTTTATGTTTTAGTTAAGAAAAAAAAGTTTTTTTTTGTGTTAATGTTTGATTAAGGAAAATTTAGTTTTGATGTTAAATTAAAAAAATTTGTTAACTGAAGTTTTAGTCTCAATTTATTTTAACAACAAATAATAGGTTAATAATATTTATATTTACTAACCTAATTAACTGTTATTAAATAATAATAAAAAAATAAATAAAAGAAAAGATAAATACAAGAAAAGGACAAAGAATAAGTCTAGGGTTCTAAAACCCCAATCTCTTCTCCTTCTCTGTCCCGTCGCGACTGTCTTTTTCATCCCCTCTCCCTTCTAAAATCGTCCGCCATTGCTGCTCCATGGATGAGCTTTGATTCCTCTTCGTTAGTCTTGCATGTCTTCTTCTTTATCCTCACCTGCTTCTGGTAGCTGAAAAGTAAACAACAAAAAAAAACATGAGAAAACTGCTCACCTTCGAGGTTTGTAGCGATTTTCGATGATGGATGTTGCTTTTCGTATCACTTGATGGATGATGGCCGATGAGGAAGACCTGAGGCTTCTGGGAGTGCGTTGCCCGTCGGACGGCGTCGGCGGCGGTCCCACAGCTTCGAACGCGTGAACTTTAATCAAAACAAAACTTCTTTTCCTCTCCTCTTTGATGCCTTCGAGGTGATGATGATGAGCTCTGACGCTCTTCTGAACCTCCGAATCCTGACGGTCGCCGTTTACTGGGTTTTTGTTCTTACGGTTCTTGATGTCTCCCTCCCTTTCTTTTTTTTTTATGATTCTTGATGATTCATATATACCTGATGTGGGTTGTGGGCTTGATACTCCGGGTTCACGTATTTTTTGCTCTGACTTGTTTTGATACGCTAGTTGCGTTCTTCACGGTGGCTTATTTGCAGGAAGGTCACGAAATTGTTGCTTCGTGATTCGCGGATTCGTTGTGCTTGTTTAACTGGCTTTTGATGTTATTGCAGAGTTTTTTCCGGAAAAAATGTAGCTGAACTCGTTTGGATTGTTGAATTGATCCGTTGATTTCGTGACATTCGTAAAAGGTTGTTTACAGTGTTGGCTGAAAATCTAACTTCGGATAAGTGCTTTTCAAATAAGCGTTTTTAAGCACTTTTCCGCAAACCAACTTTTTTCAAAAGTGTTTTTTTTCTCTTTATCTCTCTTTCTGGTTGCCTCGAAAACAAGAACGGAATGCTGTCGGTTTTGGCTATTGGCCGAGAATTGGATCGGGAGCTGGCTTCGGAGTAATCTGTTGCCCACCCGACACCCTCGATGATGATATTACTCTGAGGGTGTCAAAACTAACTGATAAAATTTTACTTGCTTTGATCATTTTGCAGGTACGGAGAAAAGTCGGAGAAATCGGAATTCTTTTAGGAAAAATATATTTTTATATTTTGTAATTTTGTTTTTTTTTGTAATTTTTATTTATTAATTTTTTTTGTAATTTTGTATATTTACTTTTTTTGTAATTTTGATTATTAAAGAAATATTACTGAATAATAAAGTTCTTTATTTTTAAAATATTGTAAATTAAAAAATATGCAATGAAACCAATAATAAAAATATGCAATTAAAAATAAATGGAATGTAATAAAGTGGTATGATGGATTTAAAAATGAATGAATTTAAAAAAATTGCAATGTGATTGAAACGAAATTAATAAAAGAATGAAATTAAATTGATGTAACAGTAAAAATGAGATTAATTTAGCCTATGAAATAACAATGAAAAATAAAATAAAATTAATTATGAAATAGAAATAAAATTCTTATAAAATGAAAGAAACACCACTAAAATCGTATTTTTTTTAATAATTCCAGATTAATCCAATTTGTCTGACTAATCCTGTTTCCAACATAGGTTTTGACTAAGCTTTTGACACCCTAACCGAGCAATTTATCAGGATAAATCCGAACCGCTGATATAACTCAAAATGAACATGTTCCCCGGCTAACTTCAATCTAACAACTTGACCCGATTTAATCTGAACAGCTCAAATCCTTCTCAATCAAACAATTCCAACTACACCTCGGCACTGACTCACATCAACCAAACCAAACGGCCCAACTTTTCTGACCACAGCTCAAAAATTCGCAAACTGACAGCCGACTGCACACAAATGACTATTTTATCCTCCATGAACTAGAGAGCGCCCAAATGCGACTTTTCCTGCAACCATCAACCAACTACACAAACCTGTTAGTGACTGGTTAAATGCAATGCAAAAATGCAATGGAATGCGAGATGAAACGACTAATCTTAGGATAAAATTTGGGGTATTACAGTTGCCCCTATTTAAATAGTTTCACCAGATAATTTGAGCGATGTAGGCTCGAGAAATCATGGTGAAAGGGATTTAAATATAGATAACCAAAAATTTTGCCCTTAGATGTAGTGATATGCAATGCTATGGACAAAACGAGACAAACTAATGCTGACAATGCCATGAATCTAGTATGAGGCGTATGATGGGAATGATAAATGCAAAGATGCAGACGACACGACGACATAAGGGACCGACGCGACAAACAAACACACTAGGGAATACGACGCACTGGGAAATTCTAAAATGATGGCCAACTGGCGCTAGCACGACCAATTGTCACTTTTTAAAATAAATGGTAAGAACGGGATCCACAATGGAGATGGCATCGATGAGACGACATCCACTGGGGAAAATCTAAGAGTAAATGTTCAACAGGTCCAGGCGTGACCGGCTGATACTCTAGAGTAAAAAGTAAAACTAGATCTGCACGACTGT